AACTGCCCTCGAAAAGTCCTGTTGAGATGTGTTTGCGTAGTCCTCCTGTTTAATTGACATGACCACAGTCTCGCGGGATGACGTTTCCGAGATGAGGAACGCGTGCAAAATCGCGAGGATGGCTGCGAAAGGTGATCGTTGTGGATATACACCGTGGTAGGCAATGAGAGCCCCCTTGATGAGGGAAAGACGAATGTCGAGGACACGGATGCCAGATTCCAGTTGGACATTTAGAGGGGTTTCGAGGGTTTGGCATTGGGATATAGGCCAGCCGTAGAATGCCATGCTGGATTAGAATTTGTCAGCAGGAGAATAAGAGTATCTTGAGAGATTCAGACGTACGTATCGTGAGTTCCGGGCAAGAGCACTGACGAGAGTGATACACTGTCGGGGATTTCGGAGAGGAAAGCAGCGAGGTTTCGACGCGGAAATATAGCTACTTGGTAGTGTTTCTTCGCTACCTGCACAGAGAGTGGTCAGAGAGCAAGTCAATGAGTTCCGGGTCATAACTTACCTTTGTGGAATACATTCTCCAAGGACACTCCTCCGGAACTTTGACAACTTGCCATGTTGACCCCAATGAAAGCGAGATCTCGGTCACTGGACCGACAGCATCTGCCTCTACCTCTCCTTCCTTGCTTCCATGCACACCAGAGCTCGAAGAGAAACGCAAGTGTCGACAACAACGTTTCGAAATGTCGGTCATAGTGGGTAACGACGGTGGGGAGGTCACTTTCTCCTGGAACGGAGCAGTGCGAGATTTAGACTTCCAGGAGCATGTCAATTCTTGATCTGTGAGGTTGAGAAGCGTTATTCTGGGCATTATTGCAGTGGGACAAGGACAGACAGGGCGGGGCGTTGAGCACGCAAGTCAGGTGGTGGGAGTACGTCTTCAAGCAGCCTGACAAAAATAGGCGCCTGACTCAGTATCTCTTTCTGACACGGCCATTTTGGGATCCTTGCGTTCATGGACCATCGTCTTTAACTTCACGAGGGGCTCAGACATGACTATTCCTCGCTTGGTTATATGACTGGCTGAATGCGGAGCCTCGTCGTCTCACTCGACCTCACCTTGGGTCACGGAAACTACTCTTTTTCTAGACCAGGAGCCCAGCTATCACGGTGCACCCACGAACACGAGCACGCAGTGCCATTACCCGAGATACGATGCTGGGATTATTCTCAACAGCGGGAACCTTCGCATCGCTCATATAGGCTGGGATCGAGATGATATACTCACTCTGGGACTCATTTCGTGATACCTTTCGTTTCCTCGATGCGAAGAACGATAGCATCCTCTTCGACATACCGTCATAATACTTGGGCCTTAATATTGCAGTATATCGACTCTGACGTAGAAGAACAGAGACAGGAGAACGGGAAGATACTCGAGAGAGCTTCGGTGAGCACCTACTTTTGTCCACGTTTCTTCCGTAATGATTCTCAAACTTACAGACTAGGACGCGAATTCCGAGATAGCTGGTTTATCTCTCAGTAGCTAATGAGGAGCTGGTCCAAGTCTACCACGACAATTTTGGGTCTGCAGTCCCAGAGCAGTCCCAGAGCAGTGCTATACGAACTCGTTTGCCTTGCATTTAACTCTCGCCGGTATCATTCGTACAATCGACCCACGATCCCGTCTTCGCCTTTTGAGCACCCAATGCAGTTGAATCGCACCTACGCGCTACAGCCTGCAGACTCCTTCCCAGCTCGCAATCTTCTCTCCTTGCCATAACACTTGGTTCCATTGACTATGGCATAGATTTGAACGTAGAGCTTACAGCCGTTGAAGCGAAGCGGAGCAGACGCAAAAGAGCGATTACGGTTCATATAAAAAACCCATACGGCATCGAAATCATTTCCGTAACATTCCCAATCTTCGACCTTCCTCCATGCAACTCGTAATCTTTGGACGTCGGAGGCGGACGAGTATCTGTTCTCCTCCGTTCCCTCGTATCTTTCACCTAAACATCCTTATCTATCTGCGTGGTGCACTTCGCGGCGATCTCGACGCACAGTAGTCGAGGGCTCCTTCGCGCGCTCTTATCCCGAGATAAACTGAAATGATCGGACTACGTGACTCTCAGCCTCAGAACGTCAATATTCAACTTGTCTCTTGTCGACGGCCAACCTAGACACGTAATGGACTTCCCACCTCCGAAAGGTGTAGAACAACCGCCAATCCTGCACCCTGTGCCTTACTGTACGTTCACCGACACTACGAGTCAGGATCCGGAGCAATTTACAGTTCCCCTCTAATCAATCAGCTTCTCGACATCTCGTGTGCATTGGACTCCAAAGTTGTGTATGGGCACGGTCATGTTCCTCTATCCGCACGACGTCGATGTACTCGATCGTCGCCATCCGTTCGCAGCCTTTTCCCTCCTGTAATCTATCAATGCTAACATCAGGACCTCTCACCTCTTTCCCCCTTTCTCCCACGTTGCCCTCCTGCGCCTACCTTGTCCACTATGAACTTGTCGCTTAGCTTTCCGTATAGGCTTGCGGGCGTCGGACGTCGGGCGTCTGGCTTCGGCTCTGGCTTTGAACACCGAATCTACCGACTCCTAGTGACGAAGCCCCGAGGTTGAGTTACCTCAAATGGCCGCTTTTCTGACGTCCCTTCGTATCCTCGGTTTTATGCCTCGGGGAGGTCAGTACGCACGGGAAGTAAGGTCAGAGGCAGAGTGGTCAAAGCAGCAGCGCTGTGAAGATTCCCGCGGTGGTCCGGGCCCTCTAAACGGCTACTAGACTACTCCTTCCCAGCCCTCAGCCCTCAGCCTCTGGCTCTAGACTCTCCATCGTCCCACCTTCCTTATCTCGAAACCAAGCCCCCTCCATTCCTCGACCCCGCCCCTCCCCCGAAATGCAAAATGCATCTAGAATCTAGAATCTCGAATCTGAATCACCCGAGCCACTCTTGACTTTTTTGGGGTTTAACCTTTGACTTTGAGTCTCGACCTCTCGTCGCTCGAGCTTCCTCGACAACCGTACCTTAAGGCTTTGACCAGATCTCAAGTCTGAGTCTCGGCCCCCCAGTCTTTTTCTCCAAGCGAAAGACGAGACGAGTCTAGTGCCTCGCAAATCCTTTCTGCTTGGGAGGCTCGGTTTGATGTACATATGGAGCCACAGTTACTTTTGGCATCATCATCATCGAACATGAATCATCCCGGTCGGTCGATCCCCACGACGAGTTTCCCAGGGTCGGAAGATAGCCGGTTGTTCGGAATACTTTCCGACTCGGGGGAGGAAACATTTATGATCTTACGAAGAGCAAGCACCAAGCACCAAAAACCAAGAAGATGCCAACGTGCGCCGATTCATTCGACATCGACTCGGAGGTATTATCGGGATTCGGCTTGCTGCTTTATGTTGGCGTCCGCACTGCGCAGTCAGAGAATAAACGAGGGTTCTTTCTATCAAGAGTTCTATCGGGGCGTGCACCGTGTGGGATCAATATTTGACGAGACTCTTCGTTTCCATTTCTCCTGATTCCACCGCCCCTCGGGCGGTGACGCGTTCTTTAGTATTACACAACCGTCAGCGACTATCAAAACCAGTCTTGAATAGCCCCAACTTGCTTACACGCTTTTTCGGGGTTCCCCCTCGCTCGCCCTGGATCCGGAGTCAGAATCATGGCTCGTAGCCTCGTTTTCCGACACGTTTACCCTTCTTTAGTTCTCATCGCGTTGGGGCTAAACCAATCTTACCCGCTTACTCTGCTGAAATTTATGTACCCATCAAATTGACGGGATTGCCTCATTCATCGAACTCAGCTCTTCGTAGCAAGTCTCATCACTTCTACAGCAACGTACCTATCATCTCGTTGCTCAGTTGTCAATGTCCCGACTCTCGAATTCTCGATTTGGATCGGTTGCCTGCCGCTACCGACTCGCTGATTACTTGTGAACGGTAAGCGCTAAGCTCTCTTGGCCAATTCAGATGTCTGATGTGCTGTTTAGAGTCCTACGCAGACGCCGTTTCTCTGCCCGAGCGTTCTATTCACTCGTCGCTGATGAACAGTTGGACTGGGACAGACGAGTCTAAAGTCATTACCTGTACATGTAGGTTTGGTCTTGGCTAATTGAGAACATCTGGAGCCAGAAGGGGGGGAGGGATCCCCGATGAGGATGGTGGTGTCGGACCTCGCGATGATGGTGGTGTTTCCCAGTCCAGTCAAGATAGTGGTGGTGGTGGTGGTGGTGGTGACGCGGCCCCATGATGATGTGATCTGCAAAGTACGGACGACTCCGACTCTGCATGGGGCTTACTTGGTAGCTTATCTTTTCTTGCTCTAGCAGGTCGTACATAGCCCGAGTCCCCCACTTGTGACTTGGGGAGAGGATCGAGGATCGCTGTTGTTCATCAGAAATTAGATATTTCGCACCAGCCCCACTCGTCGGAGTGAGAGAGCTCCTTGGCTTTTTTTCTTGGGCTATTCACTAGGTTACTATGCATTAGGGTCGCCTAAAACAATATTAATGAGCTGTAACTCGTTCTTCGGGTTCACTCGAGTCACCAGGGACAAGGGGTCAAAAGTACGTGAGTCGCCACAGACAAATGAACGCTCTCGACTCGATTGAACGACTTTTGACGCGCGACGCGTCTTGACACCACACACTCGGTAACAAAGGAAAGGGGGAAGTCGAGGAATTTGCCGAGTCAATTACTAGCAGTCTAGTACCGACGTCCCCTCCAGGTCCGTACCTAAGTTCAATGAGCGCCAATTGGGGACTCGGAGGCGTTGACGATTGGAACCTTTGCGGGCGGGGTTAATGTGAGGCAACAATTGGGGTTCTCTGGCAAGGACCTCAAAGGAACTGGCTCTTTGCAGACTCTACGATCGCGCCGAGCGGGGGTAGCAATAGACCGGCTTATCTTATGGGTCGACGTCAATATCATCAATATCACAGACGACCATTTTAAGATATTTCTTCATTTCAAGCCCCGTGGCTGAGCTCGACTGTTCACATTGACAAAGCTCCTTCCTTATAACTGACGTGCCCGTAACTCAGTGGTAGAGTGTGAGATTGCAATTACTGATCGCAACTCTCACGTACTTGCATTATCTTGAAGCCCCGTGTTCGACCCACGGCGGGCACTATGCATGTAACTGCAGTGAAATGCGTATCTTTTTGTCTGCTCTCTTCTCAACACGACGTTTTGGGATAGAGACCTGAACTCAGGGTCCATAAATAAGCCCCTATCCCGAAATTCAACTGCTACGCCCATACTATCTATGTCCTGGCCATTCGACACAAACAAACCCCAATGTTTACGATGATTATATGTCGGGAAAATGAAGGACCCGAGAAAGTCTCATAGGCAATTCCGACCCTTTAGACCAACCTCGCCGAGTCCTCTGAATCTGACATCTGACGCCTCTGGATCCCCTGTACCAGGCTCCTTCAATAATCCTACACTACCATTACGTCCAATGCCAAACCTCTTGAATAAGGTCAGGTATCACCGACTAAACCGCTCCAAGTCGGCCATACGATCGTCACAACTCCCAATTGTGGCTGCAGCCAAAACCGCATTTGTTGTCAAATTTATTGTCGCTCGCCCCATCGCAAAGACCACCTTCGCCGTCACATTCCAAGCCTAATATTGGGATCAAGTAGCGTATAAATAGAGGCTTGAAACATAGAGCCATTGGGGAAGTATCGAGTGATGGTAGCGGTAGTAGCAAGTGGGACACGCCCTTCAAGATCATACCAACCGTGGCGAGCCCAAGCACAGGCCCAAACTGTACAGTACATGTATCATACATCGAGGACTCCAGCGGAGCCACTCGTATATACATACTCACCACGCCGCCCTTCAAGTCGAGCTCAAACCAACCCTCCTCCTCGTCCTTTTACCATCACACTCTCACGATCATCCAAACATCCATTCACTCGTCTACAAAACCTCCCCCATCCACTCCTGTACCTCCTCGTCCTCATTCATTCGATCCGACACCCGCCCGTAATACCAAAAACATATACACCACATCACAATACCGAAACTTGAAGATGTCGGGGCATAGAGGTAGTTGGACGTTTTCTACACCCAACACGAGTCCCTAATCGTCGTAAGTATCGGCGTTTTCAATGTCGAATGGCCAGGGCATGAATTTGAGTCGATCATGGTATTTTAAGGAAAGTGTTTCTAAACTTGTGTTTTGGTTTTGATGCTTGAAATAGGGGCCAAATTCAATCAATACCCATGTGCGCGACAAGTTATGCTCTACATTATCGATACCAAAGAATTTTCCCTCAAATCCAGAAGGTCGTGTTAGAAGAGGGAGCTTGAGGGCTTCGAGCGGACACGTGGTGTGGTGCCGAAATCTTTTCCTGCACCACCATCATCTCGCGCTGGCCCGCTTGTTTCTCTTTTCACCCATATGGCACAAATACTGTATAAAAATTATTAGTGAGATTCGGGTGACGTGAGATTTGATTCCGGCCAGTGAGATTTCCTCCTCAACGGAACTTCCTTGGGTGAGATTTGCTTCTTTCGAGCCGTGATACCTGAGATTGTTGAAGGAAGCAACTCGATTCAAGTGGGCTTAGGCAAGCTTCAACTCGGTAGACGAAAAGATTCAGCGGAGGGGTGCTTCCGTTAATCTCCCACGCTCGGAAATTCGCGATTTCCCAGCACGTGATGGTTAATTTGCCGCCACTGCAGTCACTCCTCAGGATTCAGACTCTTTCTCCACCTTCTTCAGTGCCCACCATTGGCTCTAGTCAAAATGGTTGGCTTGATATGGGACTTTGCACTTGTATCCTTGTTTATGTCAGGGTCGGAGAAATCAGAGCTACAGTCAGTGGCCAGAATACCTGACATACGGTGGGTCCTGCCGCATTGAGCATTTGAGATCGCGTCGCTTGTTGTTCTACTTGCATCTCCGAGCCTTACCAATGACCCCGTATTCCTCATATTTGGCTTATCAGTATAAACTATTCTGTCAAAGTGCTTTGGTCGTGCTTCTGGTACTACATCCCTCCATTCTCAGGGCCGAGTACCACTACCACAGTCCAACAAAGTGCCTGAGTCTTTACCAGAATTCAAAACAATAGGAATCATAACTCCATCGTGTTTTTCATGGCTTACTCCATGGCAGGACTCTGTAACTCTTCACTCATGCAACTCATGCAAATTCCAATTCATGTGTCAACCTTATCAAGTGTGTCGGTGTGATGTCTTGGTTTCATCCCCTTTGAGCTGTAGCCCCCTCCCTCCATGTTTTTCTGGTACACGATGGGTTTTGTCTTGAGAAGCAGTAGGTATTTCATGTTGAGCAATTTGAATACCAGCTTTCCAATGTATTTCGGTGCGTGTTTACACGCTTGCACCACCACCTTCCCCTCTCCCCTACCCTGGATCTTCTCATTGTGTGGTGGCAAATCAACCATCACGTGCTGGGAAATCGCGAATTTCCGAGCGTGGGAGATTAACGGAAGCACCCCTCCGCTGAATCTTTTCGTCTACCGAGTTGAAGCTTGCCTAAGCCCACTCGAATCGAGATGCTCCCTTCAACTAACTTGGATATCACGGCTTGAGAAAGAATCAAATCTCACCCGTGTAAATCCAGTTGAGGGGGAAATCTCACTGGCCGGACTCGAATCTCACACTACCCGAATCTTACTGATAATTTTTATACAGTATTTGTGCCATATTTATACAGTATTTGTGCCATATGCCAGCTTCCAGCTTCCTTCCATCGCGATATGATGTGATATGGACCGGTGATGGTCCTCTGCTCCCGAACATTCTAGACTTCGAAATTGGCATCATGCACCATTAGTAGAAGTCTCATTGTCACCAGACTCGTCTCTAGACCTCATCAACTCTTCGTCTATCCTGCGTCATGAGAAGGCCGACCTTGAATCGCATCTTCTATCGAGGACTCGGAGTTTAGGTGCGTATTTGCGTTTCGAATCATATATTCAACCAAAGTACTTGAATTGATGGAGCCTAGAAGGCGCCTTTCTACAACACGTACTGGGTAGGTTCTGGCTGCTCTGGCCGCACAGTCCCAGGGAACACTCAGGTCAGCCATCGTGGGGCCGATTGAGGTCTCATACCCCACCGGACATCCCAGATTCTCTGCATCCATTCCTTCGGCCCTCCCAGAAAGGACTCAGCAGTGCATATCACCTCCGAACTATTGAAACGGACACATGTCAAGGATAGAGCAAGGCAGAAAAAACGCCGAGTAGACTCCGCATTCGTTCAAGAAGCAGAATATGCACGATCATTTGACACCCCCCCCAGCTGCGAATAGCCAACGGATATCCAGCTCAACCTTTGGCAAGAGGGCGCTATCCTAGGTACACGTGGGATATTCCGTCTACCACGCGCCGCTCGTTATACTTTCCGGGTTCATCGAACGTTGCTCGTTGCACATACTGGGCTTGGTGAAAGTTGAGTTGCGAGGGCCTGGGCGAACCTTACGTCGTGGCGTTTCAGCGATTACAAGAATATACTACTATCGAATGCCTGCCGATACCAACTTCAGACACGTCTATCAGGCTCAGATGGAAGTGGGAAGAATGTGAGGTGAGCCATCAGTATCAGTATTTAATCCTATCTGTGCTTGTCTGCATTCTGACGAATCTCCCGAATCTTTCCCGGTAGTGTAAGTCGGTTGAGTCTTGGGATACAACCTCAAGGCAAATTAACCGAACATAGAGGGCGTGGTATATGTTCTTTGAATTCGATTATTGAACGCCACAGTATGTCCTGGTCTGTCATCGTACTGTTCTATGGTTGAACAAAACGCCTATACGATCATAAGTAGACTTTCCAATGCTGACACGTTCTAGCAACATCAGCGGCGATTGATCGTTCGATCGTGTTTTTTGTATGAACTAGTCGGGATATGCCGTGCTTTAGTTCTGGATCTATCGATGGTTTCCGTTCCCAATCCGTTCCAAACACTTCGAACCCGACTGAACCCCTGACAACCTTGCAGAACGAACACACCCATGATTCATCTATACGTGTCTGTATACCATACCTGGGCCCGCGAACCCCTCAATATCGAACGCAGCCAGACCAAGAACAGGAAGTTGAAATCTGTGGGAAGCTAATATATAGACTTACCCTCGGTAAGTAATCATAGTTGAGTATTCTGTACGCTCTCCTTCGACCCCTGCTTACACGCCGCATAAAAGTATTAAGATTCGTTATCCCCTCCCTTTCTTCCCTTAACACCCTCACGGTACCGCTCGTACGAGCGAGATCCAATTTCCATCGAATACAAGTTCATTATTGATCAAGTCGCTCCCTTCAGGACGTCTTTATTCGCTTTCAAACATCATTCACAGTATCAATGAGCAATGACTCGACTTTGTCTACGCTGGACCGTATTCCTCGGGGTCAGAAGCTGACTCAGGAAGGAAGGTCTGTTGAAGAAGGGGAGAGAGGTTCCGATAGACCTGGACGGATACCTGAAAGGGCGAAGAATGGAAGAACCAGAGCCAGGTAAGCATCTAGCTCTCTACGTATCATTGATCCTTCTTAGGTGCCGGGGAACGTTTGCGCCCCGCATCTTTCTTATCGGTGAGTGTACATGTCTCTTTGACCGTCAGTTCGGAAGCTCACGTCTGTCTTCCGTACTAGACTGCGTTCAGTCTCAATGCATCGCAAAGAATGGCCCTTCTTGGTCTTTGCATTTTCATGAGACGGCTCAAGCTTGAACCGCCGCAACCAGTGATCATCTCATATCTCCTTATCGACATCATATTCGACATCACCGCGCTCAATTACTTACCGTTTTGCCTTCCAACGTGACGGTAGGTATACGCGGTAGTGTATGGGTGCGAGGTAAGCCTATCTCAACATACGTTGTGCCCATGAACTCTATCATTATCAAAGATTTCAGGCACGTAAAAAACCCTTATTTCACGTCTCTCGCTCCTCCCTTCAATTCAGCAATTCAGTTGGTCTCTTACTCAGCGCTGGAATACCAAGGGAATTCCGGGACTCAGAGGGCTTGGTCGTTTCACATCTCGGCTACTCTCTGGTAATCTGACTCTATGGCGACCAGCACCTTGAAGTACGTCTCGCGACCTAGTGTCGCCCGTCTATTCACTCCATTCTCGACTCCAGGT